CTCTCTCTCTCTCTCTCTCTCTCTCTCTCTCTCTCTCGGCAAATGGGACCGCGCAGGAAATTTCCACTTTGTTCTTCCTTACTTCGCCGCGACATCTCTCTCTGTCTCTCTCACTCCAACACTCAGGACCGGCATCAATGTTGCACAGCCTTCTCTTCTCCTTTACTCCCTCCCCGCACTCTCCCTCCCTCTCCCTCTCTCTTTCTCACTCTTCCCCCTTCTCTCTCCCACCTACCCCCTTCCTCTTCCCTTACTCAACTCTTTCCCGCTCCACATTCACTTCGTTTGCCGGTTCATTCACTTTGCATGACGGCCCACCGCGGGCCGCAGGGCGTTACTTGAGGCACACACACCCTCTCTCTCTCTCTCTCTCTCTCTCTCTCTCTCTCTCTCTCTCTCTCTCTCACTCACGCGCACGCGTTTAGTGGCGCCCCCAGCGAGACCACACAGAAGCTGGACACATAATGAGGTGTGTGTGTTAGTGTTTTCTCGGAGGGAAAAAAAACAGCAGTAGTTCTTCTTGAAAGCAAATTATTCGTCGAGCACAAGAAGGGCGTTAATACAAAGCTGCCCAGCTTAATTACCGCGTCTCATTAAAAAGATTATTAGCGGTATGGTGGGAGCGAGGTGGGAGCAGCCTGGGAGAGCTGCCGCTCTTCTCTCATGACCTGCCTTCTCTTTCACTTTATTTCCATTTTTTCTTCTTCCCCCCTCCCCCCTCTCTCTTTCTCTCTCTTTCTTTCCTTCTTTCTCTGCTGGCGTTAGTAGAGCCGTGCCACTTTGGCCGCGGGCCAAACCAAGCACATAATCCACAGAGAGAGAGAGGGAGAGAGAGAGAGAAGAGTTGCAGAGGGGCAGAAGAGAGGGGGGCACAGAAACGACCAAGTCTCCCTTCCCTCGCCTTTTTTCGTTCCTTTTCTATCGCGACTAATTCTCCGGCCTCTGCGCCACGCCACGCCACCTCTCAGGGCGCCGCCGAGCAAAGCGATCGCGAAACGCCGAGCCAAACGCCCCGTGTGGGTTTGTGTCTCCAGCACCGTGACTAATTGTAATCGACCGGGAGGGAGGGTCTGGTGGGCCGCCCCCATCCCTCCACCGCCCCCAGACCCACCACACCAGCACGAGATCCGCCCCCTCCTCCGCCACCCCCGGCCCCCCGGGCATCCCCGAAAACAGTCCGAAGGCGCCTCCGGGCATACCCAGAAACTTTCGGTTTTTGTCACTTCTGGGGTGTGTTTCAGGGCTGCCCGCTAGGTACTTCGGACTAACCCGAAAAGAGCCCGCCCGTCCGGGCTGTTCCGGGGGCTGATCATTTTTAAACGGGCCTCGCGCCTCACTTGCGGACCTCGACGCGCGCTCAAAGACTCTAATCTTTTAATCTTCTTGGGGTATCGCCGTGGTATTGAAACAACAACGACAACGCGAAAACTTTGTTTCACAGCTTTTATTCACCTCGTTTATAAACTCTCCGTCTTTTCTCTGACTTCTCTTTTTACATAAAAAAAAAGAACCTGAAGGTTTACTTTTCATACAGTCTTCCGCGACAATCTCACAACTCCTTCAGACAGGAATGTCAGAAACTAAAACAATGTCCCGTCAAATAAAATTGTAAAGAATTAATCAAATAATAACATTTTGGTAACAATCAAGAGTTTTGCCGCAATGCAAATTTTCACAGACATATCTTACGGCGAAATACATCAGTGCGTTATGAAAACAAATATATTTACAACTAACATCTGTACAGAAATAAACATCTGTTTATTTCACTGCTCCAAATAATCGATAGCAAGAAAGCAACATCTACAGCTGCCACACGACTGTGAGTTCACTTCATTTGCCGTGTCGAAGCGCACACGTCAAATGAAAAATATCACAAGAACTCATCACGTCAAGCACGGTGTCTATCGATCGAACCGTCCAGGGCGGCACAACGTTTCACCATCATTGCGCACCTTTCCTCTTCTTTCCTTTACTGATTTGCGTAAGTTCACTCGAGAGGCCAGCCCGCCCAAAACTTTAACCCGCGACTTTTTTTCCCCCGTCGCGGGGCGGTAGGTCGTGACAAAATGGTCCAGCTGTGGAGGGCTGCCTTACGACCCTCACGAGCTGTGGCCCAGCGGGTGGTGGAAGTAGGGGTGGCCGGTGTAGCCCTGAGAGCCGTAGGGGTACGAGTACAGCAGGCCGGCGTGCGGGTGGAAGGCCCCCGAGAAGGCCTGGTGGTGCGGGCCGGGCGGCGGCTGCCGCTCCGTCGGGCTGTTGACGTCCATGCCGGGGTTCTGCTTCTTCCACTTGGTCCGCCGGTTCTGGAACCAGATCTTCACCTGCAGCAGAAACAGAAAGGCAACGGTGAGGGTGAGACGTGAGACGCAGGCTAAAACAGGCAAGTGCGGGGGTCAACAACAGGCGACGAATGGTCACATGACATGAATGGGTCTCAAAATACCACAAATATTCACATCAGAACAACTTCCGTTTACATGTGAAGTTGACGCATCACTTCCATGTGATTTGACGTCATCTTGGCCTCTTTTTGTCCTGGGAAAAGTTTGGTCGGAGACTTAAACGCACGGCGAGCAGGGGCGCCTGGGCACGGCTGTTCAGTGCGTCGGGCGTCGGCATTCAGCTACCAGTAAGTACATCGTTGTCACCATTCCACACAATTAATCTTAACCTTTGTTTAGAATCGACGACATAAACCTTTTTTTCATGTGTGTATTTTCGTCAATTTTCGTTGACATTTATTCACGACTTTTTTGTGTGCCAAATTATTCGAGTTTATAATGTATGCTATTATTGTGCGCGACATTTTCTAAGCTCTTGCTCACCTGTGTCTCGGTGAGGGAGAGAGACAGCGCGAGGTTTAGCCTCTCGCAGACGGAGAGGTACCGCGTGGTCTTGAACTTGTTCTCCAGGGCCACCAGCTGCTCGTACGTGAAGGCCGTCCTCGCCCGGCGCGCCTTGCCGCCCCCGGAGGACTTGGAGGATGAGCCGCCCCCGGAGCCGCCACCCCCGGAGCCGCACGCGCCGCTGCCGGACGACGACGACGACTTCTTCTTGCCCGGCGAGCCTTCGCCGTCCTTCGTGTCCTCGCCGACGTCGCTCGACTCGAGGTCCACGTCGCTGCAGCCGTCGTCGTCCCCCGTCACCTCGCCGTCGTCGCCATCACGGCCTGTGGAGGGGACAAGGAGATTTGTTTTAAGAAAAATCACAACGAGACTACTTTACTTAATAAGTATGCACAAAAATCTTGGACACATATAACTTTAGAAAATATTGCCATTTTGATGCCGTAGCAAGCAGTTACAACCAGGACAAGTCCCTCTACCCCGAAGTAAATCGTGTTCCCCCGCCTCCAAGACCGCCGCCGCGGGACACCGTGCGAAACAAGGTTCGCGAGTATCTCGTTTGGAAGCAGCCTGGGGAGCGAGTCGACGCGAGGCCGGGCCATAAACAAAGTCTAAATGATTCACGCAACTAATCCATTAATAAGCGGGCTGTTTGGGCGGGGCAGGGCGGTGTGGGGTGGGGCGGGGCGGGCCGGGGCGGGGCCTTGCGGCGGCGCGCTACTCCTTTAGGCCCCAGCAACTTGAAAGCGGCTGACAAGTGTAATGAAGTCTAAGTCTCGACCGCAAACAATCTCATTACCCCACCCCCCTAACTGAACCGCCCTTACAGGCAGCCCCGCCCCGCCTTGACTAACGGCGCAATCTTTGCCAACTCCCGGGGAAGGCTTAACAGATTCAACAACATCTTAACGCAAGCGGCCCGTGGGGGTGGCTGGGCTGGGCCGGGCCGGAGAGTCGGGGAGGGGAGTGGGGGAGGCCTGGGGTCCTGGGGTCCGGACTATCCTGTTTTCACCTTGTTCCTCCAGGCTCGCCCGTAAGTGGTGTCTAAGACTGGCGCGGCCCGGCCCGGGCCCAGAAGG